GGCAAAATGGATTTCATGACAAGAAATATCTCTCTTACCTTCAAAAATTTGAATCTTTAATAAACAGAACACTTTCTTTGTGATGGTCACAAGCTTGCCAAGTTGTAAAAAAAGCAACTAGTCATACTAGACTATATTTAATTACCCTATTTCAAGGAATCAATTGAAAAGAGAAGCAGAAGCATCAAAGAACCAATAAAAAAAACTTCAGAGGAAGCACATGAAAATAAAATGCAGAGCCTTCCTAAAAAATTGACGCCAAATGCTTCAGATAAAAAAAATCAAGAATACCATTATCAAGCCAAATTTAAGATGAAGAGTTTTAAGCAAGAATATATGAATAGAGTTTATGGGAAAGAGTCTAGTCTAATCAATATCAACATTTTTAGGAAAAGGAGCGAGATCATTAGCTTTTCCAGAGAGATCAAACGAGCTTCAAAAACCATTATCCTAAGCTTATGTTTTGCAACAAGAACCGTGTTATCAAAAGCGAGAAAAAGCAGAGAACTTCAGAATTTCCATGTCTCAGCTCATATCCATTTCTGAGAGCTTTCGAAAAACAAATCATTTTATCATATAGACCCCAAAATTTCGACGCTGTCATCGTTGGCATGTATGAAGCCCATTAAAACTTAATTTCGTCTAATCGACCGAATAAAAACGCACACCATCCGGAGTCGTGCGTGGTTCCCGGAACCGTCGTTCTTCCGCAGCCGGCAGCAGGCTGCAGAGTACCACCTCGCGGTACCTCCAGTTTGTTAGTGTATCGCTGAACTTGCCGGGGTGCGGACAAGACGGAACGTGAACGCGTGCGACGATGTGACAACCTGCCCGAAATGTACGCCGTCCCTGCATCGTTTTTCGTTCTGCTTGTAGCCACCCTTAGTTTTATTGTAAGTACGACCCTGCTTTAAACATTTTTGATTTAAAAAAAAAATTGTCTTCATCAACCCTTAATTTATCAAATTAATAAATTTATAACTATTTTCTTTGGAAAATTTTGTTTAAATTCTAATGTTGTTTGTTGTTCTATATTTATTGTATATTTTTGAGGGTGGTACCTAGTTTTCCAAAATAGATAAAAAAATTTAAGTTTAGTTTTATATTTTATTCATGTTCAGATACTCTTCGACTTTGAGACAATCTTTTACTATACACACCTCTAAGTAAAAAAAATCCTTAATTTGAGTACCTAAGTGTGATGATGAATGAAATTTATTTTCGAAAAGATACAGAAGTTATAATTGAATGGGAATTACAAACTGCTATAGGGTAAAGAAAGTACATGTCCATCAAAATAGATGAGAAAGTTTTAATACTCTGGCATTGCTTCGTATTCAGGATACCCAACGATACAATATTGCTCCACAGTTTCTGGATATACACTATAGGTGAAATTGAAGTTCCACACAAATTTCAGACAGCGTTTTTTTTCTAATGTTTATTTTATTAATTCCTATTTGCTTTCGATTCCTGATTTTCAAATGTTGTTGCATGTGTATTTTCAGCTATCGGAAAAACGTAGGTACCAGCACCAAGAGTAAAACAAATTTTCTTTTGAAACGACGTTAAATGTAGCATTTTGAGAAAAGTCATGGTTCTGTCTAAAACTTTTTTTTTAATTGAGATAAAAAATGTTAAACTTCAGTTTGTCCCACGACAAATGAGTTTCCTATAAAATGTTTTTCAATAAAACCATTTAATTCAAATAGGTCTCTCATGGACGTTTTGGAAGTATTCTGAGAATTCCAAAACAGAAATGTTTTGGTATTTTTAGAAAAAATGAAATATTTGTAAATGTACTTCAAAAAAATGTCACTCTTCAAGCATTCATCTAAATGGTATTTGGAAATTGGTCTGGAATTGTATTGCAATGTAATTTGGGAAATCTTGTCCTCTGGCAATTGCTATAAGCACAAAACGATTTCAATTATCATCACACAACAATTTCTTCTGTACTTTCTGATGTTGTATCTTTTAATTTGTTAAAAAAATTACCCACCATTAAGCTCGTGGGAATCATAACATTATGATTTTATTAAGATCACATGCAACAAACAAACAAATATCAACATCCGTAATGACAGTAGAAATATCGCAAACTACAAGAAATCTGAAAGGTTACGCGTGGGTGTGTCGCGAATGCAATAATTAAACAGTTAATAAACAAATAAAAAAAAATCAAACTAGATTTATGGATGATGTATTAAGTTATTAAACACTAAACTTTGAGATTCCACATAAAATTGTATCTCCTAAAAGAATGTTCTGATTTTTAATCATACATTTCACAATTAGTCTGAAACCCCCAATTTCAAAAAGTCGTTAAAACGCATATGATATTTGAATCGTGATTTCTGGTCAGAGGATATTATAGTCGTGGGTATCTGACCTTGGCGACCTTCGAAAAGTGACAGTTTCAATACTTGTTTTATTCAAATAACAGGAAGCAATTATTCGATTAAATACTCATTAGGTTTGGATTAGGTAGGTGATGTCAATGGACCTACCCGATAATTTTTGAACTTATTTTTTATATGTAACCACCACAGAAATACTTTCTACCAAAATTTTATTGCGCATTTATTTCCTCTAAAAGAGTGTTATCCATCCAACATTATTTTGTGGGTGGAACTACTTCTTGTTCTTCTTTTTCTTTAGTTTGTATAGTATTATCCACACCTGCAATCTGCATGTAGCCTTCTTCCAAAAGTGCGTCTATATGCTTTTTTGGAGAGAACAGTCTGGATCTAATTTTTTCCTTTGCAGATCATTGCGGCTTTTTTTTTGATGTTCTTGTTTGCCTTCTCATGATTGCATTCTTGTTGTTTAATGATATGTCCTGCCCAACTTCAGCTGAGCAGGTCTTTGGATCTGGATAGCTGCACACTAGGCCTCGCCTTAGGGCCCTTTATGTCACCTCCTTTTGTTAAGGCGCATTCTCCTCCCCGGAGGTCTCCCGCAGACATCGCACCCGTTGGATAAATTGCAGGAGAGTTCCAGGTGAGGTGCGCCTCAACCTGGCCATATCAGGCCAGATGTCCCCCAGTATGGCTTGCCGTTGTTGACAAAAGGTTGGGCAGTGACAAAGCACATGCTCAACCGTTTCATCTGCAGCGTCGCACCATATACACATTGAGGTCTCAGCAACATCCATTTAGTCTACAGTGTCCTGAGTAAATTCCTACCAGTAGGCGGAGGTTTTCTCTCGACAACTGTACACTATACTCGGCTCTTTTCCTGCTAGGGAGGTCGATCATTGTCTGCCCTGCTTACAAGTGCCTAAACTGCGCCACATTTTGGCGTGCTCTGAACGAGTGATTCGTTTAACCTCGGCAATGACATGTTCGTTTTTTCCGTTTTAACCTCAATGTGTCTTGATCAAGCACAACTCCTAGATACTTGACCTCTGGGGTCAGCTGTAGACTGGTATTATTTAGCCTGGGTATTTGCATACCACTTCACTTAGCTTTGTTTTCCTGGTGAAGAAGATCAACTCCGTTTTCAGTGGATGCACCGTCAGGGAGTGCTCCTCACACCAATATGGAATTTGGTTAAGAGCCGTTTGCATGAGATCGCATAGAACGCTCTCAACCTTACCTGTAAGTAGAATGCAGAAGTCATCTGCGTAACCTATAGTAGGGAATCCCGTATCATTTAAACTATGTAGGAGACTGTCTACCACAACGTCCCAGAGGATCGGTGATAGCACACCACCTTGTGGGCAGTCTCTCTTAACCAGAGCATTGCTAGTGGTGTCCCCTGTATCAACCTTCATGACCCGCCAGCGTAGCATCCTCTCTATACATCTGGTGATGGTAGGTGGAGTCCCATGTCTAGCTAGGCCTTGTTTGATATTGTCAAAAGTGGAATTCATCAACTTTATACAAATCTATATTCCACCAAAATTATTTAATATAAACTGTCCTGATTTACACATTTAAGAGTAAATAACCACAGGACAAAACAAACGTTACGAAATGAAATATTTGTTTCGATTGCACTATTTTCATGGGTATAATTTTTTTTATCCTACATTAAAAATTAATAATATGGATAATGGATTATTCTTGTATTGTAAAAAATACCTACACTCGGCTTAAATTATCCATAATCCACATTAAGGCGATACTAATATCAATAAAAAAAAGCAACATGTTATACACAAATATCTACAACATAATATGGTAAAAACGATTGTGGATTGGAGTTGGATTTCGCAACAAGATTTTGAATGTTCAATAAAAAAACTCACTTTTCAGGGAGGAACAAAAACTTTTCCTTCCTAGGGACCATCAGTTTACTGGATGTTTTACAAACAACATGAAAAAATAAGGGCCAACATGATAATCTATAGAATTCAGTTTATTACTCTCCAGTTCCATTTGCATCACTTCTTTTCCCTGTAAAGTATTGCATCGTATCATAGTATCGACAAAAAAGCCTTCAATTGAAAAAACTATGGCCAGTGTCAAATTCTCATGTTTAGATTTATTTAGGATGCTCATTTTAAGTGGATATGAAGGTTTGAGGCAGGTTTCTATAGGAAATTAATACGGGTGTCTCTTAGATTCCTCATAAACCCACTTTTTGTGAGTGAATTTTTTGAAGAAAGAAACAGTCAGAGGTACTTTAATATTTCTAAATTCATGAATCAATATTAACATTTACAGAATAAACACAAATACAACTTTTAGTAGATTTTTAGAATAATTTGAATTTGAATGTTTGATCAAAATGAAACATTTCTTCTATATCCAACTCCAATCATTCCCCACAGAAAAAAAAAACAAATATTTATTTATCAGTCCTTAAGTTTATGCAAAACTATCACGTTAAACAATTATTCCACCCTACTTCTCCTTGCCAGCTCATCATCTTCAACACTATCCGGAGCGCTCCATCCCCTTTTCCTACTCTCAATATCCAGTTGCAATGGCGTCATTTGTTGCTGGTGCTGATGATGCGCGTAATAATTCATTTGCTGTGCAGTCAGTGATTTAGGAGGCGAGTACGACATTGGCCTGAGGCGAGCTGGCAGGAGATAGGAAATGATTTGAGGGGATTGTAGCGCTGGTAACTGTACTGGTAACCGCTGCGTTACCAGAATATTGCCTGGCCGACATCGCTGTGGTGGTAGCCGTGGTCATGCTTGTGGTACTTCGGAAGGCCGTGCTGGTGCTTGCTGGCTGTGCCGCTGGTTCGCGTGGTGTTAGTGAGACTAAAACGTCTTCTACCTGAAGTTTATGAACTTTAAGCCCATAACAATGAAACGTCCTATCCGGATTGCAACTGGCCCAGCCGTGTCCCATCACAAAATACGGATGGTCGGGAGTCGAATCAACTTCCACCTGTGCTCTTATTTGATCATAAGTAAGCGTAATGGTAACTGGTCTATCTTTTACCGCCTCAATTTTCACTACAGTACTCTCAGCTAATCGTAAAGCAGGACTCTTTTCAGCTAAATGAACGAAATCTTTAGTGCTCATCGCCTCAATCCTTTTGAATTCACCATTCGCCAGTTGAATGAGTTGGCCTTTTTGAAAATTCGCTGGCACCGTGTTATTGTTCAGATGTTTCTTAGGAGATTGAGGCGGTGATATTAGCTTTGTTTTGGTTTGAAAAAAGGACGGTTCTAGAACGGTTCAAAACAGTCGCACAATTTATCAATCAACAAAATGACAACGGCTCAGCTATCAAAAATTTCAATAATAAACTGTGTGATTGTTTTGGACCGTTCTAGAACCGTCCTTTTTTCGAACCAAAACAAAGCTAATGTTGTCGTCAACCTTTTCCGACCCTCTCGAGTAGAGGTGGGAAACTATCGATAGTAATTATCGACATATCGATAGTTTGCTACACTATCGAATTCTCGATAGTTCTACTTGGCCAATCGATAGCAGTCCTTCTGTCTTTTCTCATGTCAGCGATGTCAAGTGTTAAGAAATATCATTTACATTTCATCTTTCATCAAGGCTCTTGAAGTTAATAGGTTGTCTGGGAATGGGTAATTTGATGACGTCATCTGTTCTGAGGTGTCTAGAGGATTTGGAATTGTTGAGACACCCCAGATGACGCCATAAAAGTACAGGCAACCTATCTCTCTCAAACAACCTTGAGGTTTCCTCATATTTATGATTGTTTTTTATTTTGGTTCTGATGGTATGATACTATGGAAGTTGAAAGTTGAAATCAAAATTAAAAACGATGAAGATGAGTTATGTTTTCAGTTATCATCAGTTAACAACAACAACCTCCACAACTCAACTGCACTTTATTTCAGTTCATATTGGTGCTTATTTCTGTTTTTTACTTTCAGTTTAAAGAAAAAAGATCGTGTGTAATTTAACATTGTTATTTACGACGGGCGAAATTTGATCGTTACGCCATCTAAGACTAGGATTCAGCACTAAACAGCACTTTTGCTGTAAAAGTACTGACCGTCTAATAGGTCGACTAATTAGATGCTAATTGTTGAAACCCCAAATATAAAATCGGTCCAAAACGTAAACCCTTTTTTTTATCGACAGTTATATCAATACATCGATAGTTTTTATTCGTTACTATCGATATATCGATAGTTAGATTCTTCGATAGTTTTCCACCTCTACTCTGGAGGTTTGTGCAAATCCAATGGCATACTACGAGCGACAGCATTTTCTGGCCTTATTAACAATCTGTTTCATCGAGCCTTCTTTACCAGAAGGTACTTTAAAACTTGTCGATGGAACTGTCGATGAAGTAACTGGCGAATTAGTCTTATCCCGTCTCAAAATATTTGTTTGCGTAGGCTTTATGGGAGATGACAGCAGTGTTGCCAGATCTCACGATTATTCGTAAGATTGCACGATTTTGGTCAGAATTGCACGATCTCACGAATGAGGTAGCAATTCTCACGAATTCTCTCTGTAGTAAATCAAATCTTTCGATAATCGAAATAAAAATCTACTATACAATATTTAGTTATGTTACGCCGCTCCTGGTACATGCGCACCTGAACACTTAATGTAATATAGAAATGCACTGAGCTGAAAGTGTTTGCCAAGCAAGTCCACGAGACTCCACTATCTGTAGACCTCAACTCTTGGAAGAAAATGCATTATCCGAGTCCAAAAAACGGATTCATAAACGTGAAATCACCTTTTCTAAATTTGAAATTCCCAAAAAAATCAACTCACAAGCACAGCCTGAATCGCAAACAATCCATTGAGGTCTGCGGATGACGTCACCACTATCAGTTGCTAATAGTGGTGACGTCACTCGCAGACCAGCTGCCGCCTCGAGAATCGACGACTTATTAGGATGAGCAATCCTGCGGATAGCGGATAGTAAAAACGAGGTTCAGCTCTCAGAAACACCTGCTAAAAAACGAAAAAAACAAGGATACAAGATTTAATAATAAAATGTTTATTTCTTATGGATGTAAAATTATGTTTACTTTGTCAAAAATTTATGAAAAAACATTGTTGTGCTTTATTTTCTTACAAAATATTAAGCAATTTTTAGTCTCACGATTTCTCACGATTTTTTTAAAATTCATCTGGCAACACTGGATGACAGTGGACTAAATGTGGCAGGCGGCGATAAAAATGTGGCAGTACCGATACAGTTGTTCAACTCCGTTGACAAACCATTGATTTTTTTGAAGCCAAATTCTATGTCCCTATATTTCGCGCTTGCGCATTATTGATCGGAAACAACGAATCCTGGGCCGTGGACAGAGTCGGACTAGGATTTTTTGTGGATTAACATTGAGAATATAACGGGATCATATAATAATAAACAAAGATTATGTGAATGTATAGAGTAAACCTAATATGAAATATGTAAATATAAATACTTACAGTCGTTTATCGTTCGGGAAACTAATATATCCTAAGCCTGGGCTAGTTCTAGTGTTGTTTTTACAGACAAAACAGGAAGCAACCATGATAATACACAATATATAAACGATAAAACAGTCAAGTACACAAAAATCGCGAATAACACGGAAAGCAAGACACTCTTAAGCCGAATTTCAAATTGATGAATTTTCCGGTTACTTTTCAATTTCCTGAATAATTTCAGTCAAAAAACTTCTCTTCTTTTTTTGTAATACAATCCTGTTGCGTGTCTCGTTTGACAGTTATTTCTCGCGGGTTCTCACCTAAGCTATCTCTATCTCTTTTTTGCGTGCAGGATTGGAAAGAGAAATGTATATGCCGAACTGCTTTTTCAATTTGAGAGATTCGTTCACTCATTGAGCGCATGCGCAAGATATGGGACAAAATGCTCCTATTGGTTGGAGAATTTGGCCTCAAAAAATATGGAGAGTTGTACAACTGTATCTGTACGGTATAAACTGTGGCAGTACTACTCGCTGTAGGCGTGGCAGGCGAAAATATTTCCTGTGGACTTAAAGGCGTCGGAGGGAGCCTTGAGGTTCTCAGCATGTAAGGTTGCTGACACATCGCCGGATAAGCAAACAACGGATACTGAGGACTATGGAAAAATAATCAATATGGAGATAAAGTTTCTTCTTTGATTTCCTCTTCGGGTTGCGTGAGGTTAACGGGAATGGCAGAAGGTGGCAGCGATGGGTATTTGCTGATAGGCCTCGACGGAGCGAACCTGGTACCGTTCGGATACGTGGTTTCTGGTAATCCATTGTAGTTTCTTGTTGCAGGTGGCATTAATTTCGGAGCTGGTCTGAGAAACACCTCTGATAATTGTTTCGGAGGGTTTCGGCTCCAAGGTTCCGATTAGGCCATGTAGGGCAAACGTCCTTCTACTCCTGCGGAAATCATCGGCCCAATGGCCTTTCACAGCCAATCTGGATAAGTGTAAATAATCCAATTTAAACTGTATTTATCGGAAATATTCATTTGGTAGAAACTAAAACACAATAAATTTTCCAATGTCTTACGCGCGCATATTACTTTTAAATCAGAGTCTGTCTGACAAACCAGCCAGCGTGCTTTCTAAACGTGAACCTGCGCCTGTAGGTACTACTACTATGAGTACGGTACTACTACCACAATGTCACAACCTAAATTATCAGAGTGCAACTAGGACTTTATTTCGCCCTTGTACCTAAAAATATCTCTGGTTCCTTTGATGTTGAATAAGACACCTTGATCAAAACAGGACACAAGTTTATTAATTGAATAAATTAATTAAAACATTTAAGTTACAATTTTATTTAAAAGACATTTCGTGAAACTAAGATGGGATAACAGATTTTCGCCGGGTTGCCAATAATAAAAGAATTTACTTACATTATATTCGCCATGAGAACTTTATCAGAACGAACGCTTTTTCGGGATACACTTTTCCTAGATTTTTCTGCCTACCGCTTGAAGGACCGAAACTTGACTGACTTGTCTTCAAAAATCTATTCTCCTCATGGAATCAATGTTTTGTCTTGTCAGCATGATTTCCGAAAGGAATCCCATGCTGACCTCAATAGATGTTTTACATTTAGTAACATTTTATAAAGTTACTGAATTCCACTTTTGACAATATTATCGAAGGTCGTTCTGTCGAACGCTCCTTCGATATCAATAAATGCTGCCAGGGTGGACATTTTCCAATCCAGATACTGTTCAATCCTGCACACGACTTCGTTGAGAGCAGTCTCCGTGGATTTCCCTGGTAAATATGCATGTTGGTTTCGGTGAAGTGGGTTTGCCTGCAAGGGGTCCTTCCCTTAAGTTTCGTTCGCACAGTCTCTCAAGAGCCTTCAATAAAAAGGATGTGAGACTGCTTGGGCGGTATGAATTGGCCTTAGCATAATCAGTTTCATCTGGCTTGGGTATAAAGATTACTTTTACCTCTCTCCATTTCTCAGGTATGTATGCCAGAGTAAAACACGCTCTGAAAATAAGCACTAGTTGGTCTAAGATAATATCCAGAGCCCACTGTACGAGCGCCGGGTATATCCCGTCCAGCCCTGGTGCTTTATATGGAGAGAAGCTATTGATTGTTTTCTCGACTTTTGACTTACTGACCACTTCCTGGGCCACCAGCAAATCAACCTACGTAGAAGTGACAGTCTTATGGTTATTCCAGATTTGATTTTCTAAGATCTCACTGTCGGGAAACATGTGCTTTGTAAGTACTTCGGTCGTTTCAACTGAAGTGGTGGTAGGTATATGTACCATCCTCATTTTTCAGCAGACCTAGCGGTTGAGAGTTGGAGAGCACCTTCTTCAGCCGGGCTGCAGCTGTAGTGTTTTTTATATCATTGTAGAAATGTCTCCAAGTTTCTCTCTGTGATCTGCGAATTTCCCCTTTGTATTGCGCTCGGTGTGCTTTATACGCATCCCAGTCAGTCGCCCTTTTGGTATTTTTCGCTCTATTGAAAAGCCTTTTGCTTCCTCTCTTGAGTCGCTCAAGTCTTAAACTCCACCAAGAAGTTGTTGTACTTGAGCGTATTGTTTTCAGCGGACATGCCGCTTCATAGGCTATGACTATTGCCTCAGTTAGATTGAGTACGCGTCTTTCTATA